TTCCCGGCGATCTTCGCAATTGGCTTGATGAGTTTGTGAAAGCATCTGGCTCCACTGTGTCTTGGGCTACCTTGAAGGGAGCTATCATCGGTCGTTTTGGTACACCAAAAGAACAGCTCAGATTCGAAAGAATTAGGGAGTTTCTTCGTTGTACTAAAGGAAACGAAGAATCCGTTGATGGTTTCGTAGAGCGGTTTAAGACGTTGAGAAATAGAGCTGACATCAGTGATAAGGGTGTCGTTGCGATGGTGTTTTTTGACGCTTTCCCCAAGGTTACCGCTAGGTTGCTAATGGTTGCTATGAGTCAGGCACCAGAATCGTCATTTTATGACATTGATTATGTGTCCTCTCTCGTGCGCAAGATGGATATGATGGCTATTGAGACGGGTCAAGAATCTTTGGGCTCTGTTTTTGATGGAAGAAAACGCGCTGCTGACATACCTGTTTCGAACGAAGCAAAGAAGTCTCGGTACGCACCTTCTTCTAGTGGAAACGCTTTTCAAAGTAGCTCTTCGTCGAGATCCAATGGTCCCTCGTCCAACTCTCCACGTTCTAGTGCTAATCGTTTTGGCAAAACATTTGCTGAACATGTTGCTGAAGGGACTTGCTCCAAATGTAACGGTCCTCGACCAAAGGGGCAGATGCATCACTGCAACACTGCTATTCGTACTGGTGGTGGTAACACCCATCAGGGCAATGGTGGTAAAAAAGTTTTGCGTGCCATGACTAAGAAACGTGGTGGCAAACATTCGATGGATGCTGCAATCCAAGCTGCTTTTCTCTCTGCTCGTGTTGATCGTGCGTTAGCTGAGAAAGGTGCTTCTTCCCCTGCTGTCTCCTCTGCTGAACAATCGGTGGATGATGTTGTCCTTGCTCCTTCTTCTGGTGATAGTGACAATGTTGATGTTGACCAAGATGCTGTGATGAGTGAAGCTCATGGTATCTTTGAGGATACTGACCTGGTGAATCGTGCCCAGTCTATTCTTCTTGAAAAAGAGATGAGTAGCATGTCTGTGGACGACGATACGCTACAAAATATATTTGCTCAGCAATGTAAGTTCGATGCTAGATTTAGTGCTCCACCTACTATGACCACCAATGCTATTTGTGTTCCTATTGTGGTTCAAAATGTCATTTGCTTTGGCTTAGTGGATACGGGTGCTACGTTTTCGTGCGTCACTGACAAGTTCTTTCAATTCTTAGGAGGAACCTCCCTTGCTGGATTTGAGGCTAATGATGATGATGAGAGCTTTGTTCAAATGGCTCATGAAGTAACGACTGTGCCTAGAATAGGTGCGGTACGTTTGCACATTAGCTACAATAAATCAAATAAAAACCATTTGTTTGAAGTATTTCCATTCTATTCTGAGGAAAACGTACCTGTATTGCTTGGTATGGATATTTTGTCCAAGCTTGGCATTGGTCTTACGGGCTTGGTGAGTCAACATGGCTTTCAATCAGGTCCTCGTGTACCAGACCCTATTGATGATGGTATTACTCCAAACGCACATCCTTTTGGTAGTGAGGAAGAGAGACAACCGTTTTTACTTGCACTAAAGGGGTTATTAGAAGAGAATTCGCGCATTGATATGAAGAATACTCAGTGTAATCTGCCGGATTCGATTATTAAGCTTGATACTAAACCAGGTGCTGTCGCTTGGCGAGCTCAATATCCTTTGCCTGAAGCTTATCGTGATGCTGTTGCCAAACAAATTCAGATATGGCTTGATGAGGGTGTTGTTGAAAGATCTGCTAGTCATACACGTTTCAATCATTCATTGTTGGTTGTAAAGAAAAAGGACGCTGATGGTAATTACACAATGTCTAAGCCTAGAGTGGTGTGTGACGTTCGTAAGTTGAATGCTATCTTGGAAGTGGATGACAAACAACAGTTACCTTTGATCTCTCATATCCATCAGAGCATTGGTACAAAAATGATTCATACTTGTCTCGATATCCATGCTTGCTTTACTAGCTTTGGTTTGGATCCAGAGCAAGCTCATAAAGTTTCATTTACTTGTCCCTTCACGAATATCCAATATACCCATAAAAAGGCTGCTTATGGAATTCGCCATGTCGGATCGGTGGTTGTACGCACATTGCAAACACTGCTCTCTGATTTGAATACAAGCTCTAGTTCTACTTCGTTTCCTACTGATGGTGATCACTCGGTTTCCTGCTATGTAGATGACATCTTATGCAGTAGTAATGGGAGCCTACAAGATCACTATGCGTTGGTTGCTGAGGTAATTCGTCGTTTAACCGATGCTAATTTGGTGCTCAATCCTGAGAAAGTCGTCTTCGCTCAGCGTAGTATTTATCTCTTGGGATGGAGTGTTATTAATGGTAAATTACTGCCTGACGGTAGAAAACTTACCAACATTGCAGATTGGCCGGCTATTACCACTGGTCGTCAATTGGCATCTTTCCTGGGTTTAATGTCGTACTTTCGTGCTGCCATTCCATGTTATTCTCGTCTGACTCGAGATCTTGATAGCTTGAAACAGTACAAAGATCTAACAGATGTTTGGAATGAGTCTCATACAAAAGCGATTGCCGACTTGAAGGATGCACTTACGATGGCACTTGTGCTGTCACCTCCTGATTTTTCGATTCGATTTCACTTGGCTACTGATGCTAGTTTAACTGCTCTTGGCGCGGTTTTATATCAAGTAGTCAACGATGAAATTCGATATGTAGGTCTCGTATCTCGTAAATTGTCTGTTTCTGAGCGTAACTACGGTACTACGAAAAGGGAATTGCTAGGGATTTGCTATGCCTTGGTTAAGTTTCATCGTTTTCTGTATATGCGAGAGTTTACCTTACATACGGACCATAACAGTCTGATCTACTTGAATACACAGGAAGTCCCCAATGCACTCATGCTTGGGTGGTGGGAGACCATTTTTTCTTATACTTTCGATATTGTGCATTTGCCCGGTGTCCTTAACGTAATTCCTGATGCTTTATCTCGACTTTACGAAGATTCGGATGCTGATGCTTCAGCACGACATCTTCTGGGGGGCAGGTACTATGCTGATGGTGATGAAAGTGTAAAGAGAAAGAAAAAGGGTTCCAAAAACAAACTCAAGGTTGTCACACCTTCGCCTCCAATGAAACGTACTTTGGTCAAGACAACTAAGGCGTTACGATCTAATTCTTTTAGCAACCATGCACGCACTGCGGTAAACGCTACTCTTATCAAAGATGGCACCACCACAGCTGTCTCGCAAAAGCAAAAGGAATTCATATTGCGTACGCTTAGGTTTGCTGACTATATCACTCCTCCTACTAATGAAAGAGACAATATGATCATTGCTCAGCATCTGGTTGGACATTTTGGGATCAAACATGTTGAAACTGCAATTCATCATGAAGGGTTTCACTGGGTGAACATTCGGAAAGACATAGAAAGAATATTAGCTGATTGTGACGAGTGTAACAGGTACAATATCGCTAGAGAGGGATATCATCCTTTCCGTAGTGTCAATGCAGCTCAACCTTTGGATCATTGGTGCATGGATCTCGGTGATATGGGTGTTACTAGCTCTTTCGGCAGCAACTTTCTATTTGTCCTTACTGATTACTTTACGAGATTTACTGTGATAAGATGCATTCCAGACAAGAAGGCTACGACAATTGCCAGGGAAATGCTTCAAGTTTTCTCACTGTTTGGATGGCCAATCAAGTTGACTTCAGACAGAGGCCTGGAATGGATAAATGAGGTGGTCCGTGCTATGATGGACATCAGTGGGATAGACCATCGCCTGTCATTAGGGTACAATCCATTGGGTAACTCGGTTTCTGAGTCATTTATCAAAATATGTAAGTTAACGACTATCAAGTTGTTAAAAGGTAAGAGGGATCAATGGGAGCACTTCATTCCGTGGGTGAATTACTGCATCAATGTCAAGTATGCTCGACTACATAAATCTCGTCCGTATACACTTTTGTTTAATCGTCAACCAAATGGTCTGGCTGATTACTCAAAGGTGGACTATTCCAAACGTTTGGAGAAAGCTGATAACAGTGTGGAATACATCCACTATGATCTGCATTCCGACAGTTCATCCAGTTACCAGATTTAGATATAAACTGTATGTACACTGGATTAGATGTACGATATCGATTTATACTATGATCATGAGAAGATATGGACTTCAGATACGCTAGTACTATAAGATTCATACTATATAAGATATAGGCTATAGATGGCACCACGGACATGGATGGCACTATAGACTTATACTTGTATTCCGACATTGACTACGGATGTTTACCATATCTGGATAGGCACCAAGATTAATGCAATATGAGCTTGTTGCTTCAGATGTGCACTTCATGATCCACGCTATAAGACACATGCTTATATCCGTGATACTAGCTACAGATACTTTATGTACTACAGACTTGTACTATATATGAGACATGCTATAGACATGCATACGATATGCTATAGACATGCCATATATCCAGATACATGCTAAAGATGTATGCTTAGCGATATACACTCAGATATGTACTATTAATATAGACTAAGAAGACTGTACCTATTGGATACATGCTACTAGATCGATATTAATTATCCTTATGGAAAGGATAGATCAGGGTACTTCGGATGAGAGTCTAATTATTCATCCAGACAGAGCTAAATCATGATTAGCTTGCTGGAGTTGTCTTTTAGCATGATTAGACATTAGTTGATCTGAGTTGACTTATTTGTCAATCTAATTAATAGAACTTTTATCCATTGTTATAGTATATAAGAAGGATCATCTACCTGGCCAGTAGAGAGACTTCAGTTTACTTTACACCTGTCAGTTTGATAATAAAATATACCTTTATCAAGTTGACATTACTGTTTTTTTATTCTTTTTTTTCCGTGAATTTTAGTCTATCAAGCCTCAAATTCCACATTTTTTTCAACTCAAAGGTTATCACTTTTACACTTTATCTTATACTCTACATTTTATTATTCTACTTTAAAAACTATTTTTATCATGTCTCACAACCAATACAACGCTACCGAAAACACTCAAGAGGATATTGCTCAAGACTCTATCCGTGTTTCTTCTCCTAATGACTCATCTATGCAAGTGGATGAGCACGCTCAACTTTCCGCAGTTGATCATCTTCTCAAGAAGATTGACACTGCTCAGGCTCGCTTGGATCAGATCCATCGTAACGCTGGTGATACTTACACTGAGGAAGAACGCTTGGCGGCTGATGAAGCATCTGCGTCTATCGAATGGCTCAGCAAGCAAGTCAGTGCAATTACTAAGAGGGCTGATTCCAAAGCAAGACCTGTCAATCTCAATGAGATCCCCCGTTTCCAGGTGGTAGGACAAGCTAAGCATTGGCCTGACCATCCTCGATTCACCACAGTCGATCATTTCTTCAGTGCTTTTGAGAACGTCATCAGAGCATCCGGTAATGAAGTAAATTTGGTTTGGAAACGCTACGTGCCTGTTTCACTGCCATTTGACTTCGAATCATGGACCAAGAATGATCTTCTGGCATGTAATGATTGGGATCAAGCCAAGGCATTGTTCCGCAAACATTTTGGTGCTCCCATCAACTCTGAGGAATCCATGGCCAAACTCTTCAGCATGCGCATGAAGAACAATGATACTCTACAGGACTATACGAATAAGTTCATGAAGTACGTCAAGGATTGTGGCTTCCCTCCTAACAGCAACATGTTAGCCAAGTTCTATCAGTTCACGCTGTTACGCAAGAATCAGCAAATGATGGTCAACCAAATGTCCGTCAAGCATGGTTCCAACCACAAATGGACTATCAACGAGATCTATGAGTGTGTGTTGCCTTTGTTCCTTGTTGACGAGCAAAATCGTGGTGATGATGATGTTGAGGTCAACATCAGAGGTAAGCGTAAGGGTGGTTCTGGTGGTTCTGGTGGTTCTGGTTCGAGAACAAAGATGGCAAGGGTATCTGCCACTGGGTATTTCTGTGCGAAGCATGGCGGGAGCAATGCCAACCACAACACCATTGACTGTAAGTCAAGATTGAAGCACTTTGGCTCTGACAACAAGCCTAACCGGGCTACTACTGCTGCTCCGTATTCTATGAGTTCCTCATCCTCTGATCCCAAAACCTGCAACTTTTGTGGTAAGCCCCGTGCTTACGGTCATCGTTGTCAAGAGTTCTACGACTGGAAGAAGGAGAGAGAATCAAGGAAGAACATTGGTGTGCATACTGTACAAACAACCACTGTTCGCAAGGACAACAAGTCTGGTTCTGGTTCTGAGACCAACGATGTTACCATGGAAAGTAGCACTGATTCTGACATTGGTGATGCTGTTGGAGATGTCACCATGGAGGAGATAGATGCTTGCTTGGACGAGATTGAAGCAGAGGATGCCTCGCTCAACTGTAAGTCTAATGTGAAAAATGTTCCTGAAAGTTTCAATCCATTTCAGTTACTGACTCCTATTATTTTAGAGAGCAAAGAAGGAAAACCAGTCCGTTTGATCGCGAAAGTAGATACGGGATCAGATTCCACCTTCTTAAATAAAAAACATTTTTCACAATAAACTACTATTCACTTCCCAAGATATTATTTCTGTTGAAGGCAATTTGAACTTTCTGAGTCATTCAGTAAAGAGATTGGGTAAAACACCAGCTATCAAGATAAGATATCTTAATGACATTGCATTTGATCACTCGTTTGAGCTATCCAATTTTATTCAGGACCTAGGCGATTTTGATGTGCTACTGGGTGTAGACACATTGAGTCGACTTAGAATTGGGCTAACTGGCGTTGCTCACAAGTTTGCTGATATTGGACATCTTACAGAGGAAGAGAAATCAGAGCTTCTTGAAAGCATCGATTTCGAAAATGTCAATTTTGATACTAAACATTCTATTGATCCAGAAACCGCATCAATCTTTGAATCCCAAGCTGAGGAGAATAAGTATATGAGCAACATCCAAGATGCTATTGATGAGAATCAGAGAATCAAGCCTGGAACGTTTTGTAACGTGCCTGAATCTGAGATCATTATACCAATCAAGGAGAATGTTGATTACTACGTCAAGCAATATCCGATCGCACATCATGCAATGCCCGAAATCGAAAAGCAATTGAATGAATGGCTGGATGCAGGAATTGTAGAACAGTGTAGACCTAACGGCTTATTCAACAGCCCTATCATTGCAGTATCAAAGAAGGACAATGATGGCAAACCCACCAAAACTCGAGTTTGTATGGATGTGCGGAGGATCAACCAGCATATGCCCAACAATACAAACCAATTTGAGATCTTCACCCGGATCAAGCAGAAGGGGACGATATTTTCGAAAAGGAAAAACCTTGGTCATGAACATTTTGTTTTCTGGTATGCCTAACGTGGAGATCTATGTGGACGACCTATGCCTCGTATCTTCATCCTTATCCAGTCATTGCGAATTGATTAAGGAGGTGCTGAGACGCTTGACACATGCCAACTTAAAGATTGGTGTTGAAAAGTGCTCCTGGTTTCGATCTAGCATCTACTTGCTAGGCTTTGTAGTTGGTCCTCATGTTTCCAAGGTTGACATGCGACGTCTCTCTGACATTGATCATTGGGGTCCATGCAGATCTGCCAAACAGGTTAAACAACTAGCTGGTGTTATTTCATATTTGAGACCACACATCCCAAATCTGTCAAAACTGATGGCGCCTATTGATGCTCTACGAAATGATCCAGATGCTGGTAGCAAATGGACTGATGAGCACACCAAACGACTTGAGATTATCAAGAAGGTCTTGTTATCTGAAGCTTTACTGACTGCACCAGACATGAATAAGAAATTTTATCTTGAATGTGATGCTAGCTTATATGCAGTTGCAGTCATTTTGACGCAGCGCGACGATCAAGGACGCACAGTCTATGTGGCGATGTTGAGCAAATCTCTGACCAAATCCCAACAGAACTGGCCTGTCCTGAGACGAGAACTGTATGCCGTGTTATTCGGTTTAGTTCGTTTGCGACCCTTATTGTACGGGCATCCTGAGATTGAGGTTATGACAGATCATCGAGCTCTGATTTATATCTACACATGTAAATGTCCTACTAGAGTCATTCAAAATTACATGGAGATTTTAAACGAGTATCCCCAACTGCAATTCACTCATATCAAGGGCTTAGACAACATCTTACCTGACAAACTTAGTCGCTTGTATGAACCTTTAGAAGATCATACAGAGCTGGCGGGAGACAGTGATAAGAAAATTGCTAAATTACAAAAGAATATCATGAGAAGCAAAGGCTCCAAGAAACGATTCATTGGCAACAATAAGCAAACAAAGCATTATCTAACCAAGAACAAAGTAGTCTATAATAAAGACAAGCACTTGAATGTACTTGCTATGAAGATCAAGGAGGGCAATTATGAAAGCGTTGCTTACATTGCACCACCTGACAATGAGAGAGACCAACTGCTTCGTGAAACTCATGAATTTGGACACTTTGGTGCCGCTAGTATTGTCAAGAAACTACATGAAGAAGGTATTCATTGGACAGGTCTATATGATGATGCAAAGGCAATTTGTCAATCATGTATGGAATGTGCAAGACACAATGTAGTTCAAAAGGGTTATCATGAACTGAGAAACGTTGTAGCGTATGGTCCATTTGATCACATAGGCATTGACTTTCTTGGTCCGTTAACTCCAGCCAACAATGGCAATATATATATATTAGTTGTATACGACATTTGCACCAGATTTATTATAACTCGTGCATTGCCCAACAAACAAACTGATACTGTCGCTAGAGCTCTGACTACTATCTTTGGAGACTTTGGCATAGTACAAATACTACAATCTGATAATGGACGTGAATTCAAGAGTGCTTTGATGAGCGAGATCGGTAAAGCACTTGGCATCAATCAAAGATACTCTACGGCTTTCCACGCTAGGGGCAATGGTGCATCCGAATCAGGTGTTAAAAATATTCTTAATGCACTTCGTAAGATGGTCAGTGAACACATCTATGACTGGGACTCGGTTCTACCTGGAACTCAACTGGCTATAAACACAAAAATTAGGTATCGCACAGAGAGTGCACCTTTTCAATTGATGTTTGCTAGACCATTGAATAGATTCGTAGACTACGATGATCCTAAGATCAAGGACAACTTACCAAAGAAGCCAATGACTCTCGGTGAGCTACGCAAGAAGGCAGAGATTATGAACCAGGTTGTCTTTCCAGCTATTAACCAAAGAACACAACGCATTATTGAAGAGCAAGCAACGCGATTCAATAAGCATCACAAGATTACACACTTCAAAGTTGGTGATTGGGTTATGGTAAGACTTCCGCATAGAGAAAGCAAACTTGAGGCCGCTTATGATGGACCCTATCAAGTTGTTCAAAAGAAAAGATCTACATATGTGTTGAAAGACGATATGAATGAACTACTACATCGCGACTATGTGCCATCTGAATTGAAGCTGGTAGCAATCGACGAGTCTATCATCGAACAAGAAGTATATGAGGTTGACGAGATCAGAGCGCATCGTGGTCCTGAACACAATAGAGAGTATTTGGTAAAATGGAAGACATTTGGAGAAGCTGCCAACTCCTGGGAAACCGCTGCATCGTTCAACAACCCTCAAACCATTCGTAAGTACTGGGCAAAGATCAAGGAATATGAGCTGCTTGAGAAGAGAAGACAGGCACTAAATAGTGACACTGCTTCCTCCAAATCAAAGCGTAAGCGTGATGATTCTGACAAGCGTTTGAGAGGCTCTAAGAGACTCAACGTTGCAGAACAGTAAAGTGATGTTTGTCATGGGATATATCAGGGCAACATGCAAATTGCAGTAGCACCTTTAGACTATCACATTGCGTTATATCTTTGTCAGCGAATGCGAAATACAGATCATTGATCGTTTACATAATTCTTTGAATTAGTCAACATGCGTTGAAACTGGTGGGGGCAAATGTGGAATACATCCACTATGATCTGCATTCCGACAGTTCATCCAGTTACCAGATTTAGATATAAACTGTATGTACACTGGATTAGATGTACGATATCGATTTATACTATGATCATGAGAAGATATGGACTTCAGATACGCTAGTACTATAAGATTCATACTATATAAGATATAGGCTATAGATGGCACCACGGACATGGATGGCACTATAGACTTATACTTGTATTCCGACATTGACTACGGATGTTTACCATATCTGGATAGGCACCAAGATTAATGCAATATGAGCTTGTTGCTTCAGATGTGCACTTCATGATCCACGCTATAAGACACATGCTTATATCCGTGATACTAGCTACAGATACTTTATGTACTACAGACTTGTACTATATATGAGACATGCTATAGACATGCATACGATATGCTATAGACATGCCATATATCCAGATACATGCTAAAGATGTATGCTTAGCGATATACACTCAGATATGTACTATTAATATAGACTAAGAAGACTGTACCTATTGGATACATGCTACTAGATCGATATTAATTATCCTTATGGAAAGGATAGATCAGGGTACTTCGGATGAGAGTCTAATTATTCATCCAGACAGAGCTAAATCATGATTAGCTTGCTGGAGTTGTCTTTTAGCATGATTAGACATTAGTTGATCTGAGTTGACTTATTTGTCAATCTAATTAATAGAACTTTTATCCATTGTTATAGTATATAAGAAGGATCATCTACCTGGCCAGTAGAGAGACTTCAGTTTACTTTACACCTGTCAGTTTGATAATAAAATATACCTTTATCAAGTTGACATTACTGTTTTTTTATTCTTTTTTTTCCGTGAATTTTAGTCTATCAAGCCTCAAATTCCACAAACAGACTCATTGACAAACGATACCGTTTTGTACAAGATGTTCTTATCCCGGCTATTTCTAAGCGTATTGTGGATACACAAAATGCTGATCATGCTAACTTTGCGAAGAAACATAAGGTCATTGCCGAACCCTATCCTATTGGTAGTAAAGTTATGATTAAAAATGTTCATCGTCAAAATAAGTTAGATGAACGGTATGAAGGACCTTATTTGATTTATAGTATAACCGATAAAGGTTCCTATGTGCTGGCTGACAAGACGGGTGCACTCCTTAGTCGAGATGTGCCTACCCATCATATCAAGTACCAAGTCGCTGCGAATCCTCAGCCAATCACAATTGATGAATTCTCTGCAGAGCATTACGAAATTCAAGCTGTGATTGATCATAGAGGATCTCCTGGTAACTATGAGTATAAGGTAAAATGGAAAGGGTTCGATGATTCTAGTGAAGATACTTGGGAGCCTGTGAAAAACTTTGATTCGGCCAAACACATTGAGCTGTATTGGGCTCGAAGAGAAGGTGCAAAGGCTGCTGGTAAACGTAGGTTAGCTCCTCAAACAGTTAACTGGCGAACTACTACTACTCGCGAAATTGGTCAGAGTGGTAGATCAAACAGGTCTTAAATGGCTACTAGCATGATGGGATCAAGTCTTTTCCTTACATTTTTGTCCTATGAAAGGTTTTTACACAAGGTTTTTACTGACTGATCTCGGATGCAGTGTCATTTGGTAATTATTTATTGGAAAGTGCTTTATGTGCTATATTGTCATGATGTTTTGTAATCTGGGATTACGAAATGTCCACAAGAAGTACCTGAATCTGGGGGGGCAATGTTGTGCCAGAAGGGCTACAACTGTCTATAAAGATTAAGGTATTCTTGATGGGTAGATATGTCTGTGTTGTGCAACAACATGGACAAGCTATAATAAGTGAAGTGCATCTCAGCTATCTAAATACTGAGGTTCACCAGATGTGATAAGCGTTGTACAAGATAAATTGCTACTTTGGCATTCAGAACTTAGTATAAATAGAATAACTCTTGTCTTCATCAATAAATCTTTAGTTTTTGTGTCTGATCTTATTCAAATAAGTCTTTTCTTGTTTTTATAATATTGAACATTTTTTATAAGCTACAAATAATAATCCTTTTATTCTTTGTGCTTAACAGTTTCCATTTGATTACGGTTTTATTATTACAAAAGACAAAATAATGTTAAATGGCAGATCAACAGAAAATCAACTAATTGTAGACCGTTTCTCTTTCAGTCCTTTAGCCAATCAAATCGCTCGAAAACTCCGCTGACCTAAAAAAAAATTGCGAGGGTTTCCCCCCGTTTTGATGTGAGGCAAAATTTTAAGCTCCGCTATATAGCAATATAGCTGCTACTATCATCAAATTTCCCTCAGGTGCTAGAGCATGCCTTACTTACACCACCTAGCTTTAAGTTCAGGCGTTGAGACCCTCAATCATCACTAAAGTAAGTAGTGATAACCAAGTGGAGGCAGCCTATCCATCTCCTAGTCTCGGACAAAGTCTTGTTGAGCTTCAGCGATAGGCACATCAACTACAACGTAATAAAGAGGTATGCTTCGAAAGAAACATAATAAAAGAAAAAAGGAAAAGAAGAAAAGAACATACTACTATAGGAGTATAGTAGCATGTAGATAAAAAAGGAACACTCACACAAAAAAGTGAGTCAAAAGAAAAGCATAACAACAAATACAACATCAAAGAATGTTCAGAACAGCTTGCTGTTGTTGCAACAAAAATGCATGCATGAGCAACGTGCATGGTGGTAATAGTCGGATGTCAAGCAACACAAACACGCACAATTGCATGAGCAACATCAGTATTATAAGTGTGCAATACAACATAGTGGCTAATGTTGTTTCATGTGAAGCTACAGAGGCAACACAAACAACAACCCACGGCCATATAACGACGTAGTATTACAACGGCAATACAGATATATAGCATTACATCATGCTTGTTGTTCGTACATACGAAGCAACAACATCGCAAGCATCCGTTGAGCTGATCATATCACAGCCAACGAAAGAAAAAGAAATCGTAACAAAGCAAACATCATGAATGCATTATCACGAGAAAAAAAAGCAATAATAAAAACGTCCAGAGAAGTTTTATATCATTGCGACCAAAAGAAAAAAACTTACTTACCACTTGCCACAGCCACGGATAGACCAGCATAGAATAGACAACTACCAGAGATAGACCAGACAACAAACATACAACCGAGACAGCAGACCAAGAAGAAAGACCAGACTAGCAGCAACAACACCAGCAACAACACCAGAAGCAACAGAGACAGCAAACCAAGAAAGACCAGACTAGCAACAGCAACATCAGCAGCAACATCAGCATCATAGAAAAACCAAAGAACGAACGGCACCAGAGACTAGACAAAGATTAAAGAAGCAACCACCAGAGATAGAGACCAACGAAGCAACCACCAGACATAATAAACCAAAGAAGCAAATAGCAGAAATAGCAGAGAAGTAATGGCAGCAGCACCGACGTCAAACAGGCAGAAAATTATCGAAACCTAATAAACAAATTCGATTAGTACTGATTTTACGTCTTCTAGTGCTCGTTATCGAATAGTACCTACTATATTCCACTTTAAAGAAGCAGTATTAATCACTTTTAACAGTGCAAGGCCGTGTTATCAGAAGCTAGAGTGTTATTTTTAATCAAAAGATGGTTTGATACTAAACGCAATTTGCAAAAAAAATAAAAAACGAGGGTATGGAAAAATGAGAGGGCGCCTTAACCGACGTCACGCCCAGTAAATTTGGCCTCAGCCTTCTGCTGTGGCAGCCGTAACTGCTGCACTTTAATTTGAAATTGTGCAGTGGGTATTTTCGTGTTCAAATTCGACTTGATTTCACATTCTTTAAACGTTTTTGCTAAATTTGGCTATGAAAATTTTCCTTGTTATACTTTACTTTCTAATGTATCTATAAAGAGTCAATGAAGGCGCATCGAATGATGCTGGTTACATTCAGCTTTCAGACCGAAAATAATGAGCAATTTGCAAAAGTATGAAAACAGGTTTTCTGTAAATATGTCAAAATTTAGCTTATGAAAGCTCCAGAGAAACAATTTCTGATGTTTCATTTTATCTTTACGATTAATTTGATCTAATATGTATCATAGGAAAAATCTTCATTTTTGTGATGAAAAACGCGATCGTTTAATTTTTAAGAATCTTCCCTTGCTAATACTCATGTGAAAATGACGATTTTTAGTAAATTTGCAATGACCCAAAAAAATTGAGATAAAGCACCGGTAAGAGAAGCGTGGCCAAGAGAAGGCATGTGGTGCTATTCCAAGCGCTCAAAACGCTTTGTAGCATGAGTTATTCGCGCTTCAAAATGGCTAGATTTAGACAGAATTTGGCCTGAAAATAAGGCGTAGTATTTTGTGCTGACAAAGAAGTGAGTAGATTACAGTTCTGTCTAATATCCCTGATGTTCTGCATTGTACAGAGTTCAATCTCTAAGTTATAGACACTTTTATTCTAATCCTGACCATCAGATCTTTCAGATCTTTCTTTTTGAGTTGCTCGATTACAGTGGTTCTAAAACTTGAGCGTCAGCGATGCAGTGAAATCAGGTTTAAATAGATTTCACAAAAAAAAATAAAGCAATAACAAAAATACAATAGAAATCAACTGTATTTTATTTTGTGTATAAAATGAACTGAAGACCCTGGAATTGAGTAAAAAAAAAAGAAGATTATTTATACCTTTGCAACTAGCTTGTAGACTTAGTGATGATAGAGAGCAGTAGGTGCTGCTATTGCGATATCTGGCAAAAGTTGTTGATGTTTGATTTAAAGTGGTAATCAATGCAAGAGCACTGGCCATAAGGGTCAATCTGAGTAACCTTGATGGGCTTGGATGAGCTATTGTCATAGCATGATTTAATGTAGCCTTGACAGTTTAAGGCGTGCTGTTTGTTATTGAATTGTGGAACCCTTTATCTGGGATATTGTGCAACTATGGCAGCAGGGCATAGTTGTCATATTTGAATATGCTTGTTATTGATTTGATTTTATTTCGATAAAGATACCATAACCTATTGATGTATCATTTCTAAACCGGATCTCCAAATGCGTAGAAACAATCAGTTCAGGCACCGACCACATCAAATCATAAACTTTGACATGAAACAGGATTCAGTTACGATCCATATCATGGCATGTTCAGGACAATAGATTGGATCTATTATCCTATCACCCAAATCAACCCATCTAATACCTTATCCTCGCATCAAATCCCTCAATTCGAATAGTATATAAACCCTGTTATTTCCAATGTAATAAACAATATTCTTTACCTGATTAATTTCATACTCTTTTTTATAAATAATTTATTTCTGATAAATCAGTCTGTTTGTGAAAACTGCAATGGCACTTCTCACTCAGCACCAAATTGATTGTCATGTCAATAATGAAGTATTTCCTGATGGTAGGTATATGAAGATAATCTGCCTAGCATCTTGGTGACTTTAAGATCTAATCAGTTTTCACGAAAGATCAAAAGTCGACAACCAGAGGCGAGGATGGTGTCGTTGCAAAAAAATCTTGTACTGCTACCAGATCATTCATTACTCAGAATCCGAAACAAATTTCGGTTGATTTCAGCGATAGCCACATCCACACAACGAAAGTAAGTAATTTAGAAAAGTCGTGAAGTATTTGCATCCCATCAGAAACACTCCATCTTGCATTCTGTGGAAAGCATTAATCAGGAGAATGGAATAACAAGTGACGGAAATGACAAAACTCCAAGTGATGCAGACAATATTTGCTTAAATGATCAAGAGAATATCCATCATTCTGCACCATTATCTTGATTGCCCTTAAGTACTCATTCCCCAAAAAAAGACGAAACGTTACTGTCAAGCGTATATTCAAGGCAGTTTCGATAACCAATGCGGAGGACGCAATGATGACCACGAAGCTAGGCATGTGGACGCTTGTCGGTTGAGAGAAAGGTTCTGACAAGGTTCCAGGGTTCCAGAAATTTAATGCAATTGGGTCATTATTTTGACTAACCCAAGGGCAACAGGCACCAGACTTGCATCACTTATCAATTAGATGATGCGAATGAATCTGTTAAACTTGCCAACATTATAATGAAGAACCCTCAGACAAGTCGCTCCCAAACAATGCTCCAACTGTACATGCAATGACAGTTTCAAAGCAAGTTTAATAAACTATCGACATATTTACTCTGCAGATTCTGATTATCAATTGCTTCACAATTGAAAATTCAGCCAGCTTTCATTTGGACACAATAAAAAAAAAAAAAAAAAAAAAGACAGAAACGACAATATGTCATCCGAAAAGAAAACCTAGTTTCTTTTTCGCATGATTGCAGCATAATTCATGAAAAAAAGCTGCAATGCAACATTGAGAAAGGAGCAAGTATACTTAGATTGCCCAAAAATCAGCTACATCGAGAGCCCATATCTACACATTTAGTTGACTTTGCTAAACGTGTGCCTATTCTCTAAGCGAACAACAAAAAAACATGCACATGCAACAAGAAGTCTACAACTAACGGCAAACCTAAAACATTCAGTCATATCTAGTGCCATGTTAGCTATATTCCTCTTTTCATAAGCTATCACTTTTCGTTCATAACGTAATATCGATCAATCTCCTATGTAGCAAATTCTACATTATTGTATATCTATATTCCTCTTGTATCAAAGATAATCCTATTATTGTAATGAAAGTACAGGCTTTGCTTAGATGACTAACCATGATTTTGAATTACACGAAATCAGATGCTAGCTTAATTGAGAATTAACAATTGCATTGTCTTGCTCATGCGAAGGCATCTTTACTGTCTCAATTGACAGACGCTTGATGATACAGCAGCCATGAAAGGTTCAGATTGCATAGTCAGCACTAATCAAGGACCGTCATTAGGTAATCACAAAAGCTAATTATTGAGCCCAATATGATGATCTTGCTTGAGGATGGGCCTTGAGCTGTTTGGTTAAATGTTAATGATACAAGTACACATTTAATTACCAAAGGATCCGTGCGCAGCTCACATAAAACGATGATTTGAGACAAGTGTCATTGTCGTGTAATAAACAAAAAGCACATTTTGCTATGGCTCGTATATCACACATCAATCAAACTATGTATAAACTCTGTGTACCTGACCCGATTCACAATGCGCCGCATGAATCTCTCTTTTCGCAACCAACAGCGATAAAGAACAACTGCTGATTCTCTGGTCTAGCGGGTGGACGCGTCATTTAGAGACTCCTTTTTGGACGCTTGATTGACTATAAAAGTTGTGCAGAAATTTAGACTTTTTTTTTTTTTTTTTTTTTTTTTTTTTTTTTTTTACATTTCATCCTTCCCTTTATAAATTAGAAACATCTCGTATTGACGGCATCATGGTACCCTTATCTGTGATTCAAGATGACGAAGAACATGCCATGCATTATGCTCAAAGTCTGCCCTACGTCGATAAGCTAGAGCATGAAGCGCAAGATTGGCTCAATGATATACGCAGTAATCTTGTCATTAGCATTCAAGCAAAGGATTACACCGGCGGAGCCGTTGCCTGGACGAAACGCTTAGCCAAGTAGGTATTCAAAAGTCTTTATCTTATATGATAGCTTACCAACAGCGCTGTTATATTAGCTATTTGGACATGAAACATGCAATTTCCCGGGAAACAAGAGCTCATTTAGCGAAGATTTACTACGAAATGCTTGTCATGCCAGGCATGAATTATGCTCTGCTTGAATTGTGGTCAAACACTTGTGTGCGATTAATCAAGTAAGTGAAAAGAAGTGGCGACGGCAGCTTTTGCAGTGTCTTATTCGTATTTATAGACATAAAAAGAGACTGGACCCTGATGATTTGACACTCGAGTGGCGACCTCTATACGAGCTGATCCGCAGATCATTGTTTCCCAAGAAACGCAATGCATTTCTGATGGCCATGCATCCAGTGCTCCGAGCCGTGGGTTACATGCAACGATTCTTTCCAGCCAATGCCACCAAGGAGATATTGGAGGAATTTCTGCCTCACTTTACAACGCACTCACCTTCAGACGCTATTCTGACAGAAGGATATCTTGTCTACTTTTTGCCAGTCGACTATAAACCTCAACGAACAGTACAAGCACAAGACTACCTACCAACAATCTATTCATTATGGTCCATGTACACAAATTCAAACGCATTTGATCCGCAACTACTATGTCTGGTTTCCAAAATCGCAAAGCACCAGATCGAGCATGGAGACAATGAAATTGGCGTGTTTTCAAAGCAGCAGGTCAAGAGTGTGTTTACATATGCTTTGAGGGCGTTTAATCTGCCAGTGGGTAGTCGCAGTGATGGCAGCAGTTCAGCAGGAGGAGCGACCACTGGATATGGAAGTGCTGGATCGAGAAATGACAAGAAGCTTGGTAGCGCTGTCTATCTTTGCAAGAGAGGGCCTACTGTGAGTATACAAGCATTGAAACAGGTTATTAAGCTGGATACTGACACAAAAGGCACATGTAGGAAAAATTCTCGCAACTAGCTCGTTTCATGGTGTATACCATCATGCCTGATCAAGAGAATAAGGACACCAGTTACGCTTTGTCCTTGTTATCTGATTTTATCCAGGCGACAGAGCTTTATTTTCATCCCTCCAATCATGGCATGTGGTCTTGGTGGTTGACATTTTTCCTGCGTTACCTAACAAGCACCTTCCTGAGTCGCTGGAAAGAGGAGCAAAAGGAAGACTGCACCACACCGCCACACCGTCGATTGACGCCTAGCATACGCAGAGAATTCGTGCTGACATTGAGATCAGTATTGTATATCAGTATGTTTGGTAAAGACCATGCCGTTGTGACACTGAGTCAGGGCAGCATAAAGAATCTCGCTTGGCTGGAGCCTGCCATCATCTTTCCTGGATTGCTGGAGCGTATCTACCCCTCTCTGGAGACACTGACTGAAACACATCGTACAAACAGTGCCATCAACATCCTCAAAGACATTGCATCGCCCTTGATCTCTCGTGAAAACTACCCAGCGGGTGGAAAGCATTTATTGCCTCTGCTACACTTGTCCATCCCAGGCATTGACATGAACGATCCCAGCAAGACACTCGGCTCGTTCTTCTTTATCTCTATTGCACTCATGTCTGTCCCCATCATTGATATGTCACAGCAACAAGATGGCTACTATCCCACTGAAGAATTCATCGATGATCCGCATGCTGAGCTATCTCGAGAGACAGAGGACTACCTTGTCAAAGCGACTACGGGAGAATTTGAGGAATGGCTTGCTAAATTCATGCGCCGAGTATTCACCATTTTCGAAAACTTGCCTCAAGAGAACCGCAAGATGCAGGGCCGTAGCAGCAGCAACCCAACTATCGAGACTGCCATCACCCAGACCCTCTTGCACGCTTGTGATACCATCTTTGGTCAATTATCTGACGATTTGTATGATTTGGTTTTGCGCATGATGGTGGAATTCATCTCGGATCGTGTCTTGCCAAATGCTGTTCGTGTGGTGGGCCTCTTGTGTGAGGCCATCGCGAAAGCAAACCCCCAAAAGGCAGCCAAAGCCTTTATTCCCCTCTGTATCGCCAACATTCAGGTTGAGCTGGAACATGGTGCTGCTTCTACAGTGACTCATGCTGCCTCCTCCAATTTGATTCAGTCCGATTCCACCTTTCACTGGTACCAAAACATCCTATTCTCTGTGATCCGCTTTTTAGGCCCCGAGCTGCTGCCCTACAAGCAAGATGTTGTCTCTGTCGCTCATGCCATGATCCAGCAGTGCCGTAGTCGTCGTGGTATCATGTGGACCGGCAAGCTGCTGCGAAATGTACTCTCTACTTTGCTTAATGTCTATCCAAAGGACTACAGAAGCGTAGTGCCTTCTCTATGGAATGATAAAGAATACATGCTTAAGCACGCACATCAGCTGTGGGGCCAGCCTGGTGATCCTGCCAACCTAGAGATCGACTGGCATGTTCCATCTGAGGCTGAAAAGAACTTTGCCCTGGAATTTCTAGCTGAATTCTTGGCTCCCGCAATGCAGCGACTGGAAGAACTCATTCAACAAAACCCTGCCAACAATCATCAAGTCAGTAACGAATTCTGTCGCAATTTAGCAGTGGTCAGAAACTGTCTGATGGGAAGCTCTGCCATGGTGGGTGATGACGGCGTTTCTAGCAGCTTGGATCAGAAAGATGCCATGGTGGTGGATGAAGACGACGACGATGATGAGAGTATAGAACGTATGCCAGAACAGCATTTGGAAGTAGGCTATGCCTTCAACGATGCTGCTGATCCTCGTACAGAACAAGCCCGCACTATCCGTCGCTCGATGGGAGAGCTCATTCACAAGTTGTCTGATTTCTTTCGCTCTCACCGTGAAGATGATGTGGAAAGTGTCAAGATATGGATTAAGATTGCGCGCGCCTTTCTCAGTGAACGAGGTGTTGAGAAATCAGTGTTTGACAACAAGAAGCAAAACTACAGCCTTGGAAAGGACATTAGCAAGACGCCTCACTGTGGCAAAAAGTATGCTCGTAACTTGCTGGTGCGTCGTGCCTACAATCATCATTTGCTGCGTCTGCGCCAGAACAATCAATCACGTCTTCGCACACCTCTGCATGATGCCATCTTGTGTGATTTGCTTGAACTGTCCCTGGGTTCCTATGCAGAGATTCGAAAGCTGAGTCAGAGTGCCTTGTCTGCTACATCTCGCTCGTTCCGCGGCTCCAAGAAGCTGTTTATTCCTGTCTTACTGGACGCCTTAAAGCCCAATGTGCCATCAGATCGCATGAAGGGCGCCTTGTATTTGTTCTCTCACAAGTCCATTTTGCATCCCTGCTTGAGAGACTGGTCGTACATTCCCACCTTTATCAAGGCCATTTGTAGTGCACAGCATCAAGACAAACTGACTATCCAGGAGCTGCTGAGAGACATCCACGACCGATACATCAAATCCTTTAACTCTTTCATATTCAAGACCCTGACGCCTGATTCCATGGCCAACTACGTCAAGCCCTTGTCACCATCCACGACAGAGGATCCCAACTTTAGCAAAAGGGTATCGCTAGTTGAGCAGCGCGTCAACGCCAGGTTGGAAAAGAACACTGCGGCCTGCCGTGAAGTGATGGACTTTCTACTTGACTTTATTCAAGATCCTCAGGTGCACTGGCGATTCTCCACCATGTCAGCTGATTTCATCAAGATGTTGCTCAAGTGTGAAGTGAGTGCCTCCCGTCGTCTTGCTGAATTTGCCAATAGAGCTACTGTGTCTGAGCTACCGGACATGCGTGATGTAGGTCTGCGTGCGACTACCGTGTTGCTGCTGTACATCAAGCAACGTACCTTTGCTGCTGGCAATGAAGAGCTGCTCATCACTGGCAAGACCAGGAACCCTCTAAAGGTAGACATGCAAGTGCAAGACCCCGAAGACTTTGGCATGGGACGACGCTTATTGGATGCTACGTATCAGGGCTTGACACCCGAAAATGCGCAAGAAAGCGTGCTGATTGATAACATGGCGCTTGGTTGGTATGTCTGGCCTTCTCACTACACTGGCTACAAGGTCAACACCAATGACTTTTTGTTTGATACGGTGGCTGCTGAGTGTCAAGAAGCCTACGACGAGTTCCAAAAGACGTTCAGCACGTCTGATTACTGGCGCAAGATGTGTGCTTACCTGTCTGAGGAAATCAACCCCAAAGAGGATGTCGATCGCTTCGAATCCATTCATGCTTCGCTCTTTAAAAGCATCTTCCAGACGTTTGGTGATGTGCCCTTGACGTGTGCCAAAGAGCACATTGAAAAGCTCTGCTATGCGGTTGACCAAAAGAATGCTCAACGTGCTGCTTCGGAGATGCTGGCTGGTCTGATTCGCGGTACCAAGCACTGGAGTCTTGCTAAAATGGCCCAACTGTGGCAGTGGCTGACACCTCTTCTCAGCAAGGTCTTTAGTTCCATCACACCTGATTCACTGACTTACTGGGAGTCTTTTGTGCATTATGTGACCAACCGTCGTGATCCTCGCAGAATCCAGCCCTTGATTGATCTCTTGCTGGAGGCTGAACTGGATCCTACCTCTGATGCTGCTTTCAACGAGTCTAGAAAGCTCTTGCTTGTGCGCCAAGTGGGAGTCTCTTTGCAATGGCGTTTTGAGCCTCTGATTCATCGTATTCTGCCTACGTATCTGAACAATATACAGCATCCTTACAAGCAGGTGCGTGAAGTCATTGGCGTGAATATCAATCAACTGCTGCAGCTGGAATGGATTCCTTCTTTCCCGTCGGTCCAGAGACTCTTGACTGCCAATGCAATGACAGATGGTGTTGGTAACGTGCCTACAACTTTGACAGAACGGCAACAACAGAGAATCAATATCTTGAACAGCAGTCTGGATGCTTGGCTGGCTGAGATGCAACAGAACAGCGCTTCCGTTTTAAGTGGATCCAGTGATTACGCACATGCTAGCAAGACAGGTAACAGTATGCAATATTATCGTGAGTGGTTCTTTTCTAATACGTAACCAACAGTGCTCTGCTGGCTCCATGAAGCCATGAACTACTGGAATGTGTCTGGAACATTACCATATATAGTACCCATGCTACCCAAGATCTTTGCCATGCAAGAAATCAACGACGACCAAGATCTGCAAGCCATGGCGACACGAGTACTCAATCTAACTGCTCAAGTCAACTATCCTGCTTCCATGCTGCCTACGCTGATTGATGAGTTCCTCGAGATCCTGACTACATCCACCAACTGGCACATTCGCATCAGAGCGTTGCCTGTGTTGCAAATCTTCTTTTTCAAGCATTTGTTTGTCATGACCAGTGCTCAACTGTTGCGCATCATGCAAGTGGTGGGACAGTTGCTCTTGGATACGCAAATCGAAGTACGACAGCTGGCCTCGGTGACATTGGGCGGTTTAGTGCGCTGCTCTCAAAGAGACGCTATTCAGGAGCTGCTGACAGAGTTCACTGCCAGGATCCAGGTCAAGATTCCAAAGCGTAAGCGAGACAAGGTGACGGGAAGAAATGTAGAGCCCGAGGGATTTGCAGAGGCCGTTCTGCACAAGCATGCTGGTGTGCTTGGTATCTCGTCATTGATCAATGCGTTCCCTTACGAGGTGCCTGAATGGATGCCTGTCACTTTGTGTCAGTTGGCTGATTGTATCTCTGATCCAGCGGCTGAGATTCAGGTAAGTAATGGAAAAAAAAAAACACCATGGAGGACTCGAGAGGATAATGGATTAACCCCCCTTGTTTTTGATTATAACAGGCAACCATCCGAAAGACATTTTCAGACTTTAGAAGAACACATTCAGACACATGGCACGAGGATATGCTCAAGTTCAACGAAGATCAGTTGTCAGTGCTCAATGACATGTTGATCTCACCAAGCTATTATGCTTAGATTCACAAATGTTAAGAGAACTAGTGCCTTTTTCCGTGAAACGGTTTCTGTTGAACATGTTTCATATTAATTTTCGTAAATACTAATAAAAATACAAAAATCCTTACTAATAATGCCTTTCTCTTATTTTCTTCTGTTGCCTTGAATATCACTCGCTATAAAAGCAGGATGCCCATGGACGACCGTTATGTGCCGAGTGGTTGGCTACATAAATCCGCTCGATTCAGCCTACTACATCCACTGAAAATGAGATACTTTGTGCTGCTCGATAAAGAGTTGCGATACTACAAGCATCCTGTAACAGCATCTTTCCATTACGCTCATTTGAATGTCTGCAAGCCAAACTAACGCACTGCTTATCCAAAATGTAGGACGACACTCACGCAGCAGGTGCCATTCAACTCAGGGACTTCCAGGACATTGAAGAGCACAACACATCATATTTGTTTGGCTTTAAACTGGTGTCAGAGACCAACAAAGGGCATTGGATACCCATATTGTACGCCGAAACTAAGGAAGAACAGCAGTTGTGGATGAAACGAATCAAGACAATTCTCAACAGACTGTCAAACTGCTCTCATTGCTGTTCAGCGCACTTTTGCTCCTTGGATTCGCATCACTATAATGACAGAGACAGTGGCACACACGGCCATCATGCTTTACTCAGTGTGCTAGATAGATGGCTCAACAAGCTGGATTTATATGATGGGTCTGATGATGATTCAGACTATTTTACAAGGCGATCCAACACTAGCAGCTCTCCAAATCATAGTCGTTCCAATAGCAATGGGGCTGGACACTCATCGTCCTCCACATCCAAGCACAGATCAAACGAATCTATCCGCACAATAGAGTACAATGGCAGTCTATATTCTGAACCTGCGACCATGACTTCTAGTAGCCATGCATCCACTCTTAGCAGTGGCTATCATAATAATAAGCGCCAGAAGTCGGCACCCATCACATATCATCCCACGGGCCATCATGATCAACGACGCCAAAATTCTTCAGCTGCCAGCCTTAGCAGCAATAATACACATCAAAGCTCTGCACTACCATCTAAAGCTACTCATATTTCTCAAATTACACCCTCTCATCAAATAACAAAACTACTCTCCATAGAATCTGAGAGACTGAAATACGTAGAGACGACATTGCAATACTTTCAACATCCTCATATACATCGTTCAACAAGTATGAAATTTCGTTCCGAACTTGAAATTTCCCTGTCTCCTCCTCCACCTAGAAGATGATGCCTGTATAGAGGCGCGTCTCTCCTATCAGACCATATCATCTCCCTTTGATAAAAGACATAGTAGCAAGAGGCATGCTATGTAATAGATGATAGCATGTTCTGAAATGTACATATAGACAGCTCAAAAGCAGGCATTTTGAGTAATAAAAGAGCTCTACTAGATAAGCATTTGTCAGAGAGAGAGAGAGAGAGACTTAAGAGGAAGCTCAGCTCGAGCTATAGTCCATTCTACCAAGATATCCATCAATGACACAGCTGGAGGTATTCACATCAACATCATCATATACAAACTCCTACATATTTTTCCTTTTAGCACAAAGCTCGCCTCACCCTTTTTAAGATTTTCTTTTTTTCCCTAGCTCATTGTTTAGCCTTTTCTTCCTCTTTTCATATACTTTTCCTCTTTTGAAACAAACAAACAAACAGATGCCTTTATTTTCCAAGAAAATCGTGCCAACTGACATCACGACAAACATCGAGAAAGCCACGAACCCCTCAGTGACAGAGCTGGATTGGTCGCTTGTATTTCAAATCTGTGATTCTATAAATTCATCAGAATTAGGTGCCAAAGAAGCCAGAAAACTCCTTCAAAAAAAGATGATCTCGAATGATCCCAAGACTCAGGTGCTCGCTTTGGAGGTGCGTTTTGCTGATATGACATAGTACCCGCAATTACTGATACATGGTCGCATAAATCTAGATATTAAATTCTCTGTCTGAAAACTGTCCTGCAAAGTTTCAACCACAGTTGGCTGCTAAATCGTTCGGTGAAGAGCTTCATACTTTGGCTTCATCCAAGGTAAGTTGGATAGTGGCCGAGTGGAACAATTGGCAAGAGCGAGAATGATAAATCTCTAGTGGGATTTGATAGAATACGGACGATAGAGTACATGGTAAACTTGCACAATGCTTGCAAACGTGGGTTAGTCAAACTGGTGGAGATCCACAGTACGGAGCTGTGAGAAGGGCTCATGACATTATGATGAACGGCGCTGCATTATCAGGTACCAATAACAGTAGAAGACAGGTGCATGGACAATCTAGGAGCACACATGCCAGCACGCCAAGAGAACCTCCCAAGGTCAGAACTTTCCATCATGACACAAAGATACCGAAATGGCTAATACGTACTTTTACGACAGCCTGCAGATGTGAAGGGTGATATTGAGCTTGCCAAGAACAGTGCTCAACTATTTTCTCAAACCTTGTCCTTCACTGACCCCACACAAGAGGACATCTCCAAAAACGCATTGATCCAAGTAAGTGCAATGGCTGCAATGGGTATAAGGGACTGTAGTGTTGACAGGTAAATTGCTTAGGAATTCTACAACAACTGTAGAAACGCACAGCAAATATTAGCTTCTCATTTGGAAACATGCGAAGACTCTGAAATTATCTGTAAAGTATTTCTTCAAAGATAAAAGGGTTACACTACTCATCTAATCATTTAGCCGCCCTGATTAATGCCAACAATGAATTATTGAGCTGTTTCAAGTCGTATGATGAAATGTTGGAGCAAGCCACTGTCAATCAAGCCACTGTCAACTCACAAACACTTCATGATCGTACCTCTCGCAATGTAAGTTGGTTGGACATGGACACGGAACACGTAGCTCATGTACCAACGTTAGGACGAGCAGCTTAGACAGCAGCAACAGCAACTAATCGATGAAGACTTGATTCCATCTTCTTCGTCCTCTCAACCTCATCCTCAACCTCAAGCGCAATCTCAACAATACGCTCCCCCTTCTCCTCCTCCTACTGCGAATGCCAACACGGCCAATTCACACAATCCCTATCAAATCTGCAACACTTTAAGGTAAGATGTGCAGTAACACGATATGTATTACCGTAAGCTTATCATGGTTACTCTAGTGATGATCCTTTTGATCCATTTGCTGATACAAACCAGGCTTCCGATGCCTCGAATAATGCAGGGTAAGACGGCTATTCAGTATAGACAACATGAAAACTCATTGCCTATCGCATTTTGCTTAGAAACACCTTGCCTCCACCTTTGATTCCTCAAAAGATGCACCAATAAGCTTAAATAATACAATAATACTTTTACCATGAAATATAATAGGATGCTGTCAAAATACCTATATGTAGTAATCCACCATAGTGGTGGATAAGTAAAACGTTGTCATCTTTGAAATGATATCATGCCATGTGTAACTGCTTGCATTAGACACGGCGGTGTGAATATTATATGAATTCGTAAGGTAGCCTCTATTATATACTATACTCCACAACTATGGAAAAGATGCTCAAGAATCTATTGTTCGCATTCACAGGCATGCTCATGAAATCCTGAGTAACAAAGAATAACAAGCCTGAATCATATGAACGAGGATGTTCACATTCGACTCAACCCTCAGATGAGTTTGGAACTACTTGCCGGTGAAGATAAGCGCACTCAGAATCTGTCAACTGTCAATGAGATTGCAGCCATTATCCCCAATAATTATTTTGATACAAGTTTTAAACATATCCTCACCCCATATCAAAATGGCTCTTCATCAGCCAGTTGTAATAGTTTCTTTTAAAAGGAAATGCAGACTGCCTATATGCCATGTTGAAATGCTGCAAATCATGATTAGAAAGTTGCGATTTCATATATTTTGGTGATAAGCCAGGCTGAATAGCGTTGTAAGATATTAAAATACCCTGCTAAAAAAAAACTATTCATCAGGATTAGCGATAGTCCTTTCAAATTCATGGTTCCCATCATCACTATCATGATCAATAGGCATTTTGGTCAGCCAGCAAAGCCAAAATCAATTAAAGCTCAGAACAATTCTATTACTCAAGATTGGACATATTTCGCCTTTTTTCGACTTCTTTAATCTGTTTTGACAGATTCGACTATATAAAACGTGATGATCAGCCCGTAATTCCTAACACATTCTTGGAGCACTTCTCAAGGCGCTTCGAATGGTGCCAAGTAAAATAGATGTTTTGAATGGAATTATTGAGTAATTTCAGAAAATATGAAATCAGGTTTTTGGCCAAAATGTCGAGATTTTACATACGAAGGCCTTACAAAGGTGGTTTCAGGGGTTGCTTTGGGCTTAGAGAAGCATTTTAATCTAATATATACCAGAGTAAAAATCTTCATTTTCAAGGTGAAAAACGCGATCGTTTGAAATCCGATGAAAACCATGAGGGGTACCTCATGCTTTTGGGTCGATTTTTGGCCATGTTTTTTGGGTCCCCAAAAAGCTGAGCAGAAGTGCCCAAAAATTACTGCTACTCGAGTACAATAGTTTAGCATCATTACAGCGGCCCAGAAAGGCCTACCTGGCAAGGTATTAAGGCTTGAAAGCTGCCAAATTGGGTTGTGTTTCGTACATTTGCTTGTTATGGTATACTTTGCTATACAATGCGAACATGTATGCCATCTCTGGCGATTATGAAAGCTGGTAAACAATTACCAGGGTTGTAAAATGCGTCAATAAAAGATAATGTATACGCAGAGCAAGAAGTTTTTAAGCGGCAGCAGCAAATGCTAAATCACTCAACTCACATTCACGTTGAAGGGACTTTTAACCAAAGTATTTCATGTATTTGAATTAACAATCCAAGATTTACACGTATAGTATCATTTACAGGAATACATATCAGGTCGTTTACGTACCAACCCAATGATTTGATCATATTTGACCTTTATCTGTTAGGATACTCGCATGCCAATGGCGTTGAATTTTGAGTTTATCGCGTTTTTATGTGTCATTTAGGTGAAGAAAACCAAAATTGCACAACATTCGCCTCCTTAGCAATTTTTAATCAGGCTTGTGTAGTCTAGCAAGGCCAGCAACATTTCTCTGTTGCTTGTAATGATCAAGTAAAGAAAGCAGATCAATGTACCGCATATTTGAGCAAAAACTGGATTGTATTCTGCTAGCATTGGCTTCAGCCGAACAGGTATTTTTTTTTTTAAAAAAAAAAAAACTCAACCGTATAGAATAGATGAATGTATATAGATCTATTTGCAATGAAAGGCAAGACGTGTCATTTGGATGGTAATTTGAACTTTTTGAATACACCAGCCCAGTGAGATTTAGCCTTTTTTGAAGAATCTAAATATGCTTTTCTGATTGTATTAATCATCAGAATGCTTGATTAACCATGCTTACATATGCTGAACTTACTCTGATTTACTTCCATTGACTTTTTCCAACGCCTTGTTAAAGCTTTTTTGTGGTATGAGTTTGGATGACAAGCTCTTTTTCGGGGTTGGGCCATATGCCTTTTGGTGCGTTGGTGGTAATGGCAATGGTTGCTTTTGCTGTTGTTGTTGTTGTTGTTGTTGTTGTTGTGGTGGTGGTGGTGGTAGTGGTAGTGGCGGTAGCTCTTGCTTCCCTGGTGTTTTGATGATGGAGCGTAAGGGTATTTTATTTGTCGTTTTCTCATCCAGGACAACTTGCAGTTTAACCTCTGTTTGGCCAAGATACAGTCTAATGATGATGGGCACCGCATCGCCAGCTTGTAAGGATGGTATATTGGGCATGTCAATGTTTCTTTTGAGCACTTGATCTAGACGAGGATCCAAAGTAGAATCAATCCTTAGATAAGCATCGCTGAAACTGAACACGGCTACATACGCAAATGTTAGTAATTGTATGTCGCAGTGAATAGCACGACTTACTTATAAAAGTGTTATGAGGATAGGTCACATAGTACTTCTTTTCAATGTATTCGTGGTTCTTCATGAAATGATTTGCTCTGAAGAGAGTGTCAAGCTTGTACTTTGCAAATGTGGGTTCGGACGATGGGTCCATTAAGTCGGAAGCGTCTGCCAGTGGAGTCATCACCTGTATACCATATGATTTTCGCACGATTCTCTTTGTAATGTAGCTTGTATCCTTTGCTAATTCCACAGCGCCTCTGACAACAGACTGATCATACTGCACTGGTGCCTGTACTTGTATATTTTTGTCATGAAAGGTGTCTTGAATCTTGTTGCGAAGGTATTCAGATTGGCCTAAACCACCAGTCAGAACAATCATATCAAGCTTCTTCTCAACCTTCTGCATAGCCTTGTATTGATTCTCAATCAGTGAGAGAATTTGATCTACAATGGGGTCGAATATCTTGGTAGACATGTCAGTTGCTGGGATGACTATTTTATCGCCCTTTTTATTTGGCACATCAATGATGGTGTCTTGCTGGTTCTTGTAAGTGTAGTTCTCCTATAACTAAATGTCAGCACTGCCAATATAGCCTGTTACTCTGAGCCTTACCTTGATGTTCAAGATGAAGTGTAGGACCATCTGCTCCCGCTCGTAGTTACTCACATTGTAATCTTGGTCATAGCACTCCTTTTGTATGTATTTTCTGAAAGCATCATCCAAGAAGGAAGATCCACATAGACTGCCAGTACCTGCTGTTATTTCTTCAATGTAATATTTGCTGCTCTGATCCTTTCTAGAGTGCTCATAAGTAGCCATATCCACAGTGCCTCCTCCAGCATCACAAATCAAGGTTCGCACTATTGTCTTTTCTGGGTTCATTTCGAAATATGTGTTGAAGAAGTCAGTTTTGGGGTCGTTGGCGTAAAAGATGGCAGCTGCCTCGGGTTCATTCACAAGCAGCAATCTGCTAGGAGGGTCTTCTTTGGAGACGATACCAGCACAAGTAACAGTATCACGCATCACTTGCTTCATCTTGTCGCTCCATATGGTAGGCACTGTAAAGCAGTATCTGTATCTCTTGGGTGTATCTGGAAACAGCGATTCCATTGTCTCTTTAATTTTGCCGTTCAGTGCTCGCAAATAGTTGGATATTGCATCGATCACGAGCTGTTCATTTTCATCATCCTTACTGACTTCATCGAGGAAGAGCTTGAACCTCGACATGAGTTTGCCTGATTCTCCAGATTTGTAATAATCATCAAATGCCTCTTTTCCCCAGTATTTCTGTTGGCTTAAACTTTCATCGTACAGAGATAATGTTGGAAGCTGCATGGTCGCTTTACTATTATAAACGTCGGTTAAGCCGGTTGCAACACAATGATAGCACTGCTGCATACTCACTCAAACTCAACCTGCTCGCTGCTGCCGTATTTACTATAGTACCATTTTGAAAAGCTAGTGCCAAAGTCTAGAGCCATGTCAATAGATACTCTCCAAGTAAAAGTGATGTACCTACCAATACCAATAATATGCGTATAGTCATCTTCCTCTTTATTGTGCATTGTATCGTCCTCAGCTAAACGGCTAGTCTCAGTCTCGATGCAGATGGGTGCGTTCCTTGGGACCCCGAGCTTTTTATTCAATCCATAATACACAGCACCGTGCGCAGCCGAGAGGTCATCATTTGACACAACAATGACATTGTTTGTTATTGCATCCAATCTCTGTTTCACGTATTCTAGCGTTGAGAGGGTTCCGCACAGGAAAACGTAATCAGTTGCGTGTGTCTTTTGCTCTTCAGCGACATGCTTGCAAATGCCGTCTACAATTGGGTCATACACCTTGTGCTTGAGGTCCTTCATGTCCAGTGCGAGATAAGGTGCTGGCTTCTTTGAAATGGCAGGCGATAAAAGTATGTTTACTTTTCTGTCAGCTTGAAGATCCAAAGAAAACTATCAATACAACAGTTGGAAAACGTGGTCTGTTTGGGTTCACATCAGTCGAATACCTTTAATTTCTCTTTAAAGTACTTGAGTGCCGTCTTCTTCATGGCAGCCTCCTTGTCTTCCGTGTAGGTGGGATGTTGCCTGATGATATCCAACACATAGTCCTCAAACAGCTCATTCAATCGGTCACTGCACAAGTAATCGCTCGTCAAATCATGCTCTAGTTGTTCAATATCCGCATTTCTACCAGTGCTCACAACACGCATTATTTTCAGTTTGAGGTACTTTGAATCAGCATCGCAAATCATGAACTTGGTATCTAACCGCAGACTGTGCTTTTTAAGAAAATGCTTTGCCATTGCTGTGTAGGTGTTGATGAACAGCACTTTCTCGTCAATGTCCTGGTCGATGTAGATACCTGCCAGTTTGACTGCTTTGATGAGGTTTAGCTTGTATCTAGGCTGCTCAGGGTGTTGCAGTGTAAAGCAGTATCTGATGCGCTGGATGCCCTTCTCGCCATGCTGTTCAGCGATCTTTCTGATGACATGCTGATGAAACAGATTCAAGTAGTCAGCAGCAGGGTTTCGGTTGCTCTCGTCAGGCTCTAAGTCTTTGATGTGGAGGATGAACGGCAAGTGCTTGATTCGAATGGAGGTTGAAGTCTCAGGCACATTTCCAAAGCCTACAATCTGACTGTCGATATCAATGGAGCTCTGCTGTTTTGTCAAAGTGTAGGCAATAACGGAGGGAATGACGCTGGTGTCGCTATCATGGCAGTTGGTGGTTCCTGAATACACAATGACTGAGGGTATCTTTTCATCCAAAATGGAGGCTCTTGGCCAGTTCTTTACTGAATACACAGTCTCTGGATCTCTGACTGAAGCATAGCAGCAGCTGGAATACGTCGTCCCAAAATCTAGTAGACAGTGTCAGCACAATTGCTTCATCTTGAGCGTAAGACGAGTTACCTATACTAACAACAAACTCGTATTCGTCCTTGAGAGAGGGATTCATGTTGCAAATAAAGAATTGGAAAAAAAAAATTAAGAAGCAGGAGCATGCAGCGTTTTAATATTGGACAGGCTTAGTTGGTTGTGTTCGTACAATGTGTCACCTGAGCACAGTATCTCTTTAGCACGCTGTAACAATATTTTTATTGTCTATGCTATTGCCCTATGTTCATCTCGAGACTATGCGTCATGGGCGGTACCCTAAGTTCTATCATGAGTTAGATTCTATTGCCTCTGGCACAATGCAAACCTCCTTTTTCTTGTTGTGAAAACAAAGCGATACTATTAAGGTAACATATTTTTGTGCGTCTCATTGAAAAAGAGCAGTTTGTATTCATCTATCCTGAACACGATAAGCACACGAAAACAGCAGCATTGTGCTTCTAGCGAGCATCTTGTGTGATAGCATGTAGCAGAGAAGCCATATGCCATTTCGGTCTCAGTCTTGCATTGCCCGACGAGAGGAAAAAAATTGGGATGTAATAGGCTCCATGTTAAACGACTGTTCTTTTCTCTTCATTTACCTTACACTAACACACCGAAGAGACATGGCTACCAAGCAATTATTGAGACGGTTGGCAAGTAGAAGCTACTCGACTTCAAGCAGCAGCAACAACAAGGCCATATTCTTGACTGAAAAACAATTGCAATCACTCGCCTTGGATCAAGAGAGGTAAGCTATTCATTGTATACCATAAGTGTAGACCTCTAAACAGAAGATAGTGAGTTGGTTGCCAAGGAAATTAGCGTCGCATCTGAACATCATGTAAGAAGCTCTGAAGAGGCTGACTTTGGCCGTAAGAGAATTGGATGTGTAGAGCTTCCAAAGCCGTTGATTCATGGCATTACAGAGCTTGTTGAAGGTAACTGCCTAGCGACTTTGAGTGAATATGTCTATTGACAGGTTGTTTTGTTCTTCTAGGACAAGACAAGCGATTGGTCAGAACGGATGCGCTTCGGTTGTACGATGCATTGCGATCAACAGCTAGAATACCCAAAGAGTCAAACGAGGATTTTGATGGCTCGAGAAAAGCCAAAAAACTGAGAAATTCATCAGCAAAAACGCTGGTTGAGCCACACAAGCTGTCGTACGGCCCTAGAGAGTCAGTAGCCTACGCAGCAGGTGTGCTACCCTCTACATTCGCAGCAATCACCAATGTCATGCATGAAATAGCAGGGAGAATTGCTGATTTCAAGCCTCGATCCATGCTGGATTTTGGCACTGGACCAGGTACTGCCATATGGTAAGTGGAGTAGTAGGTTTATAAAGTGCAGTTGTTCTGATTAGACGCTACAGGGCTACAAGAAAGGTGTTCAAGCTAGAGACATGTGTGGGCGTCGATTTGTCAGAGGACATGCTGCGGGTTGCCGAACTATTAGAGGGTAGGATGTCGAAAATTTCGTAGAGAACAAGCGACTGACGAGAGGTTGTATAGAATCAGTAAAATCCAAGGACGATGCTGCGATAGAATTCAAGAGATATTTAGGCTTTGATCCAAAGGTCACTTTGCATATGGCACATTGAAGTTTGGACATGATATTGACAGGATGGTTTTTAGGCACCAAAGACTGATTTGGTGGTCAGCGCATTTACATTGGGTGACATTGCATCCACTGCACTCCAAAAGTCCACAATAGAGCAATTATGGGAGCAGACAGGCGATGTATTGGTAAGTTTGTGCAAGCATTCGAAATTAACGTGTGATTTAACCGCACCGTTAGGTTTTGATTGATAGAGGAACACCCATTGGTTTCTCCAATATCGCCAGAGCCAGACAATGGATTTTAGACTTGGAGGGAGCTAATGCCCACGTAGTAGCGCCTGTAAGTAACACTATGAAAAACAAGCCAAACCATGTCTTATTCACTCTAATAACAGTGCCCTCATGATCGTCCCTGTCCACTGCTGTTCTCACCACAAGCCAAGCCAGATGATCTATGGTGCCATTTCTCACAAAGAGTGCAACGTCCAACCTTTTTAATGAAGACCAAACACTCAAAATTCAACACGGAAGATTCCAAATACAGTTATGTGGTACTGCGTAGAAAGAGTCGGCCCACAGCAGCTGGATCTACCATGGAAGACAAGGCCTACGCATGGCCCAGATTGATACAGCCTGCGCTCAAAAAGAATGGACATGTGGTGATGGATGTGTGCTCAAAAGAAGGAGAGATACAACGCATGGTGATTCCCAAATCGCAGGGCAAAGTACCTTACCGTGATGCCAGGAAGGCCATGTGGGGTGACTTATTCCCTCATCCATCAAAGAACAAGGTGATAACTCGAGTGTCGCAAGGCATTCTAGACAAGGAGGCATTGGAGTGATTTGCCCGCGCGTAGATTGTAATGGTGATATACACACATACATAGACTAGGCATTACCGTTACAGACTCTTTTGCAGCAATATCAATATACAGATCGAAAAGTTTTATTTAAGTAATAGGCATGGTGCCATTGATAGGATGTGCGTGTGGTGTTTGTCTTGTTTTGGGGCACAGCAGACAGTAGTAAAAAAAAGCTACTCCTTATTATTTGCATGCAGTTTGGGCATAGCAAAATGCCCCTCTTGTGGATATTGATTGTTCAACGAAGTATAATGCGATATGAGCTTCTAGATCACCCGCACTTTATGATGCATTGTATGACACTATGTTTTCAACCATTTTATACTTGGCGTATTGATACAAATCAGCAGGTCTAGCAATGAGAATAGCCGTAGTAGTGAATAACTTGGCCTGAACAAATAGGTTGAGTTCTGATGCACTGATGGGTTGTTTATGAAGTGTGTACCTCTCTTATTTCCATCTCTGTCACTTTGTTTGTGCAACCACATAATAAGCGTTTGGATGTGAGGAAATGCCATGACCACGTTTTCTGCCATGGACTATGGAAAACCATCGTTTATTATACAGCGTGGATGATGCTGCGTATGTCTCAGGCACTAGATACCTAAAGACACTGGCATTGCTATAGTCTTAATGGGCGCATTTGCATCTGTTTTCTTCTGTGTTCAGTTTAAGCTTTTAGGCTTAGGCATGATTACACAGATTTGGAAATTTCAGTGGTGCATCTACTTTAAAGACTACTCGCTTTGAGTGGATTAGTTACATCTTTCTTTTCTTCTTCTTCTTCTTCATTTACTTATTCCAAATGACTCGGGGAGAAATCGACGTTCTACCGGAGATTCTGTTCTCTCAGCAGACAAAGAAGCAATTCAGCCGTGTGCTAGGCTTTGGTAGGGAAAGATAGTGGCTGCATGTAGCCGCGAGACTGACGCCATGTGTGTATGTATATTTACAGATCTTGGATCATCTGCCCTTAGTTGCTCGCTTTCCAATGACAAGACACCAATTACTGCCACTGTGTTTCAGGACTGGGCCAATGGATCGAAAAACGAACCGCTTTTTCCTTCTTGTATCCAGTACAAGAACTGGTCAAAGACAACAGACTGCAACAACATTAAAATAGGCTTTGACGGCCGCCCTGAAGAAAATCCACTGGACGAAGGTGATCTCTACATCCCAAGCATCAAACGCCATGTCATCCAATGGATTCAACAAGGCACTCAAGATGACCAACCCGATGCCCTTCTGGTTCTTTCCGATTTTTTCAAGGCTACTCGTACTCACTTTGAAAACGCATTCAAGAGGTTCAATGAAAAGCTGGACAAGACTCAAGAACAAAAACAAAAAGCTTGCAACCCGAAAACTGCTGCTGCTACAAAACATTATAGCTTGGGTGATTGTCGATTTAGTTTCGCCGTGCCTGATGGTCTTGCTTGCAAATCAGAGTATACAAATCTCATTCGAAAGGCTTTTGTGCAGGCTGGTTTTCTCAAGCAGGAAGATGTTGCCAATCGACTGATATTCGTAAGCGACGCGGTCGCTGCAGGTTACAGTTGTGTTCACGCACCACAGAACTTTAGCGGCATAGAGCTTGACACCAACTACCTTGTCGCTGATCTGGGGTATGATTCAACCAAAATCGCCATCGTTCAAGCCCAAAAAACTGCAGCCACCAGCACTGTTTTACCATCCGCACACGAAACTGCAATTGCAGGCTATGGTAGCTTCAGTGACAATTTTAGAAAGTACATCACAGAGAGATCAGATACATTCAACCTGGATGCCACTCAACCCGAGAAGGTGGATTTGTTTGTTGCTGCTTTTGAAACATACAAGACGGTAAGTTCACCATCTGTCCTTGCAAAGCCCTCGTATTCTAAGCCATGGAGTAGAGCAATATTGACTTGAATAACGACACTGGAGAAACCGAATTTACTGTCAACAATGAGCCCGTCATTATTAGCAACAGAGATCTGCGAGAACATGTATTCAAACCCTACCTGGATGACATTTTCAGCCTCGTCTTTAAGCATTGTCAAACCTACAGAATAGCCAAGATCTTTTTCCGTGGACAGTATTGCCAAGATCCGTACTTTGACAAGGCCTGCAGCAACTTTGTCACAGACGGTCAATACAGTTTTCATCGTATACCCAGATGTTTCGTCTGGGGAAAGGAGCCAGAATACATGATTTCCAATGGCGCTGTTTCCTATGGTCTTCGCTCTGCCTTGGTACAGGTTCCCTTATTCAAGCCCACAGAGACTCCTGCCAACCAATCAGATGAAAGCAGTAAAGTGCAGAAAACGAAGGACAGCACTACATCAAGCGACAAGTTCTCTCATTTAGATTTACCCAAGGGCCATTTTGCAGTTGGCATTGGTAGGTTAAATCGTTATGAATATACAGCCATTGCTCATCCTTGTGAATAGATTTTGGTACCACATTTTCGGGATGCTCATATGCTGATATTAGCAAGATGAAGCCGGGAGAGAAGCGCGCCATCGAAACAATCGACGTTTGGTAAGACACACTACGAAATGGCAGCTCCAGTACATTCACTCATACTGAGGCAGGGACAAAGCCTCTACCTATCCAAAGATCTCCACTGCTCTGAGGTACAATCAGAGCTCTGGCAAGTTTTCGAAATTTTGGGGGTTTGATGCATTGAAAGCCAAGAACGAAATGAAGCCTGGAGACCTAAAATTACAGTACTTTAAGCTCTTACTTTCGCCTGAAAATGTCAAGAGATTCTATGGCAATGGCAACAGAGAGATCAGAGACGTTCAAGACCAATTATACATGGTTGACTTGAGCTCTAATGGCAACAGACAGGCCGGGAATTCCAAAGCCTTAACACCGGTTGATATCATTGCCAAGTATCTCAAGTATTTTAACAGCAGAATCAAGGAGCATTTGGAGAAAAAGACGGGCATCAAGGCTAAATCACTGAAACTAAAATATGTCATTACTGTGCCTGCCATGTGGACGGATACTGGACGAGCTACTATGATCGAGGCTGCTATCCAGGCTGGCCTTGTCAAAAGCAATGAAGGAAAGTATATTCAACTAATCACAGAACCCGAGGCAGCGGCACTTTCTTGCGAGAAGTTCATGAAGGATACCTTGAAGTTGAATAGTGCTTTCTATGAAGAAGAATTGGTCTTTACTGTTTTTGACGCTGGAGGAGGTACTGTTGATCTAGTCACTTTCAAGCAGACCATTGGAAAGACAGAGGATGGCAAGGAGGAAAGAAGTATCAAGCAGATTGGAGATGGTAATGGCGATACTTGCGGTGCCGCTTATTTGGACACAAGATTCAAAGAAGCCATCATTGATTTTTACAATGATACCATGGGACAAAGAATCAAAGGAGAAGGCTTCTTCAATTATCACGTGGAGTATTTTAAGGAGAATATCAAGGTAGGGCGTCTTGTGGATATAAACGGGACACTTTTTTGAATCATTCACATGTAGAAAAACTTTATGCCTAGCAGCCGTACTGATGCCGTGTATAGAATCCCGCTACCTGCTCTCCCTGAAATTCCTCTAGATACCAAGCCAAAGCCCTATGGAGAATCGAATGACCCTAGTAGACCCAAGCTAAAATGTAGTCTCATTGACAAGAATACTGTTCTTGAGATTTCAGTGGCTGAAATCAAGCGATGCATATTTGATCCGATTGTGGATAAGGCAGTTGACGTGCTCAAGACACACCTGGAAAAAACTAGCAATAATCGACCTTCCGCTATCCTGATGGTGGGTGGCTTCAGCCAGTCAAAGTATCTGAAGCAAAGAATTCAAAGCTTCTGCTTGCAAGAAGACATTCCTCATGTAAGTGCTCCTCCTAAAGGTGTCACTGCCATCTCTCGCGGTGCTGTCAGCTATTTCCTGGAGCCTCGTCTTGTGTCAAGAAAGATTGCTTCCAGTTCTTATGCTCTATGTGTTGACCTGGCTAACAAGTCGAACAACGCAAGCCATCTGTGTTATTTCATTCGAAAAGGTGCGTCCATTGAAGTAGAAGAAAAGCTATACACAAAGACTGTATCAGTCATGTATCCTGGAAGCGCGGTCATAGGTAATGTTGGACAGAGCGATCGATGTAGATATTATAAAGACTCAACTGCATTTACTTTAGCTCTTTTCGCCCACGATGAACCAGAAGGCAAGGCTGCGGATGAAGTTGAATCAGTAGGCAAGTGTAAGAAGGAGGTTGAACCCTACACATCCAATGATGGCAAAAACGTAAAAAAGGTCGCTGAATACGTGATTGATCTGCCGGATTCTCCGTTGCTTTCTCCTGGTACAATGGTGGATTTGCAAGTTTCTTTCAAAACGGCTATTGACGGCGTCTCGCTTGACATAAAGAGTGTGGATGATAGAATCGGATTACAGACAAGCGGACAAACTGATGAGAAGTGTATCTCATTCAAGAGAATTGAAATGGATCCTCTAAAAATCAATTTGAATAAGGAAGGTTTGCAACGCATGAGCATATTTGGCATCTCATTTTCAAAAGGCGGATAGAGTGTAGTGTTTTATATAAGCATCTTTCAAAATAAAATCAAACTTGTAGTACCCCCCCCCCCACACTAAACTTGTATCAATTTCTCTGGATTTGATCCAGGCAACAAACTTAATTTAGGGGCACATCTTGATTGGCTGGATGTCAGATTTGATGGTTGAGAATCAGAAAGGCCATACTCTGCTCAACTCGGATAAACAGATCCAATATATACAGAAACGTCAGTAAGAGGTAATTTATTCAATAAAGTGTTTTTGGAATATGTAACAAATAATAGGAAATAGAATGAAACGAGAAAATAATACTACAAATATATGCTATACAATGAAATGCTTTAATAACGACCACGTCCACCACCACGTCCACCACCGCGACCACCGAAACCACGGCCACGATCACCACCACGGCCACGGCCACCAAAGCCACGACCACGATCGCCACCACGTCCACGACCGCCACCACGACCGCCGTTGAATCCACCACGAGGAGGACGGCTACGGACTCTGTCAGAGTCATCACCACCGCTGAAATCAGTACGAATAGGACGGCCTTCAATGCTGACACCGTTCATGCCCTTGACAGCAGCCTCGGCTTGACCGTCAGTTTCGAACTCGACGTAGGCAATACCACGAATTTTACCTGTTTCTCTATTGAAAGGCAAACGAATATCACCAATGATAGTACCAAACTTCTCGAATGCAGCACGGATATCATCTTCGTTGAGACTATGAGACAAGTTGGCCATGAACACAGTGTTTGTTTTGGGGCCAAAGTTGTTGTCCTTGACACGAGGGGTAGCAGGAGTGGCATTGTCGACCTTGATAGTGCGACCCATGAAATCAGTACCATCGAGTTCCATGGCAGCAATTTTACCAGCTTCTTCGGTGAAATCAATGTGAGCAAAACCACGAGAGCGGCCAGTTTGAGGATCCAAACGAAGTCTAACGTCAGTGATCTCACCACAAGACTTGAAGTGTTCACGGACATCATCAGATGTAGCATCGTAGCTAAGTTGACCAACCCACACAGTAGCACCATCAGCACCAAAGGTCTTCTTGACAACCTCTTCCACCTTGACAGTCTTCTTGGGACGTTCCTCCTCCTCCTCTTCTTCCTCCTCGACATCGTCCTCCTCTTCGGAATCAGAGCGAGAACGCTTCATGCTTACCTTCTCCTCTTCTTCTTCTTGTTCAGAGCCAGATTCTTCACCAGAAGAGGAGGAACTCTCGTCGTTGGAGGCAGACTCGACGATTTCTTCAGCCTTGACTTGAGCAACAGATTTTCCCATTATAAAATTTTGTGTGTGCGTGTGTGTGTGTGTGTGTGTGAGGGGGGATAGATTGCATGTTTACTATTTTTTTTCGCTGCCTTTTTATGGAGAAATCAAGAAACGCCTCCACCGCCTGCTTTTCATGTTGTGACTCCCAGCAAAAGCCACTATGCAAACATCGATATCCTCTTTGCTCCACTGTCAAAACTTTATTTCATGGAAGGCACAGTGTTCCGTTGCTTGGCCAGTTGCTAGATATTTATTGGATTAGTATGTGAAATGTGCTGGTTGTTGCGATTATGTGTAGCTGCTGATCTGATATGTATATCAATGGCATGTCAATTGGATCACTGCTGAAGGCTCAATTTATCTAAATCAGCATTTGGATGTGGATAAGGTTGACATTGGATGATCAGTAGATCTATTATAGCATCGCTTCACCATTGCATTGGAACAAGAGCCCTACTGCAAATGACCACTATAAGGAACATAGACTCTGGACATTGGGCGGTGAGATTATCATCATTTGGCATGTTTATGCGAGTGCATGATCAATCAAATTGTGTAATGGTATTAGAAAAGTTATTAATATTACATAAGAAAAGAAAGAAACAAAGAGTGTAGATTAATGGTTGTTATAATGCATTCGAGTGTAGTATAAAAGGCTATGTATAAAGGAGAGTATGTGTATAAAGAGTTATTTTTTGTATGCAATCGAGCTTAAACCAAGCTGATTTCCTGCATGGCTATCAAACAACATGCGCAAACCCTGCTGTGGCTTCAGTATGGAGGCTGTTGATTGTGGTCCCAGTGGTGGTGATTGAATATAGGTAGACCCTGCTGGTTTTCGAGCCGTGGTCGTATTCAAGTGTGATTCTTTGGTGGTGGAGCTTGACACAATGGAAGAGTTATCGTCATCGTAAAAGGAGATGATGCTGGTGCGGCGTGAGGTGGAGGAGGAGGAGGACGATGCAACAGATGCCAGCTTGACAAGCCGTGGTTCTTGTAGCATGTGTATGGTGCCTTGAGCCTGCTCAAGCATCTGTGTATATTCAAACATCCTCTTTACAATATCATGCACACTCCCCTTTTGCTCTTTTTGATGATTCTCTATGGACTTCAATCTACCTTGTAGCTGACTGTTCTCGTACACAACCTAAGACAGATTGATTAATATCCAGTGTGTTGGGTTTCCATGCGCATTGTTGCTCTTTCTTACCAATGCTAAATCCGAATACATGTTTCTGATGGCTTGAGTTGCAAAGACGTCAGATTCCTTTTGCGTTTTGACAGCCCTCTCAAGCAAGACTTGTAGATTGACATTGACTTCTTCTGTGGCTGTTAGGTCTTGCTCAATTTCAGCTGTTTGGAAGCAGGTTATGTTAGTTGCAAGTGACGGCATTCACATCACATCACAGAGACTTACACACTCGGTCTTTTGACTTTTCCAAATCAACAGCGATACCATCCATTTGTTTGACTAGACCAGCCATATTTCGTCTAAATTCAGCAAGCTCCTCTCTGGCCTGCTCCATCTCTCGCAAGAATTGCATTCGTTCAGTGGCATCAAGCGTATTGTTGCGGTCTTGCTGCGTGATGGAGGGAGTCGAATACGAGGATGTAGGCTGTAGTTACAGTATGTGTGTGTGTGTGTCAATCATCTTTGTTTGTTGCTGTTGCGTGCATGCACTAACCTTGATGTCATGTGTATTATCAGGTTGATTCGAGTAATATGTGTAGTCTTCTTGGAAGTAGTCTGCAACGGGTGCATCAATCACACTCGCTCGTCTCTCTTTAATTAGGTGGGTATCTACTGCATTGCGTCAATTTAGCGAACCCAAATGCTTTAATGTGATCTACCTTTTGACTCTAAGATGGACCAATGTGGGTCAGACTTATCTGGATGTGTATGGGGACGACCCAAGGGCTGGTTCTCATGTGAGTATATAGGCTCTTCATTGCAAGATCATCCAACTTACTTGGGATATCACCTCGGAGTCCATTTATAGCTTCATAGGGTTCTCACTCTACAGGAAATGTGTGCTTACTGAGCTGATCAAAAGATGAAATGAAAATTAGGTGTGTGGGGCTATGGAAAGAAAGAGAAAAAGAGAATTATCCCGCTGTGCTGCCTAACTTTGGGATGCTACACACTCTTGCTTCACCTGAAGTATAGGCTCGTGACGCAGCTAGTGTCTGTAGCTGTAGAGACAAAGCTGAATGTTTAGTAGTTGCACCAAGTTTTGCCGAAAAATCTGGGGTCAGCGTGATAGCAATGAAAGATGGTCCAGGGATTTCAATTTTTAATTTCTTGCTTTTTTCGTTCTCTTTTCGATAACACTATAGAAACATGCAACCTACAGCTACTTTGCGTGCAGTTCACAAACCTTTGATTCGATTCTTGGGTCCTAGAGCCAATCTCTGGAAGGGTGAGCTCAAGCTCCAAAACATGGATAAGCATAATTACTGATTTTTAATGCAACATGTTTGTAGATGCCCCTCAACATACTGGCCCTCACCCTTTAACACCACCTAATCTTGTCAAGCATGTCGCCGAGGCGTCAAAGCCTGCTGCTGCCGCTGCTACTTCCAGTAAGGCTGCTTCATCTCAACAACAAGGTGTCCTCGAATTCAGCCAATTAGCTGCCAAGTATAAGCGTGCCCCCATTTCCGAGGCTGAGATGGAGGCTATCGAGGTAAGTGACATACAGTACCCAAGGAGGAACGTTTCCATACTCATGGCGATATAATTAGAGTGGTGGAGCTACATTTATCATCTAAGATCACGGATAGACTATATACTTGAACTGCCCAATAAACGATGTGTGTGTATACTATATATATATGATGCAAAAAGAAAAGAGTTTATTCAGTAACTGCAACGCATTCAATTTCGACAGCAACATCCTTGGGAAGACGAGCAACTTGGACAGCACTACGAGCAGGTTGATGCTTGTCGAAAAACTATAAAAGGAAACATATAAGATGGAGCAGTTAGCGTTAAACATTTCCTTTTACTGCACATTTGCTTACTTTGGCGTAGACATCGTTCATGGCGACGAAATCATTCATGTCCTTCAAAAAGACAGTAGTCTTGACGACCTTGTCTAATCCAGATCCAGATTCTTTGAGAACAGCTTCCATGTTGGATAAGCTTTGGTGTGTTTGTTCAGTGATGCCTCCCTCAATGACATTGCCTGATCTCAGCTGGATTAGAGGTTGAATGCTGTCAAACACACTTTATATAACCTACCTGATTCAGGGACGACGGGAAGAGATCCAGAAGTATATACCATGCCGTTTACCTTGATAGCTTGAGCTTTTTCAATTGTGAGCGGTTGTTGTGCTTGTGCAAATGTCGTCTTTACTTACCATAAGGTCCAATGGCAGCAGGTGCGCCAGTGGTGTCTATGATGGCACGCGTGAGATTTAATCATGGAAAGACTACATGTACTTACGGACACGAGTCAGTGTTGACATGGCTCTGGATGCGGCAGGGAAGAGTTTGCTAGGGAACATTGTCGTAGCGATCTTGATAAAAAGAGAAATGAGGAAAGTTGAAAAGAAAAAGAAAGTTGACTAAAGGTATTTTAAGACTTTCAGATTGTGGATCCGGGGCAAATTAACCCAGCCATTTGATGCGCATCGAGTGTCTAGTGTAAACTTTACATTATACAAAGCAAATTTGGAGAGCTTGGAAATGACAAGTGGTATGAAGGATTGAGGTGATATAGCCATCTCTTATTCTGCACAAGTACTTATAACCAGAAGAAGAGAAGAGGAGAGAGAGAGAAAGCAAATAATCTCATGGTTTAAAAAAGAATGGGCAGAGGCCTTTACGATCTTTTGCTGCTGGCTGCACAGGCAAGTTTTGGCTCGACCAAAATTTTCAAGAAAATGGATAATACGTTTACAGCTTGTCATTTGCAAGTAATTAAGAATGGCGAAGGGATAAACGAGGCATTGGGACACCTTGTAATAAAAACTGCTTCGTAATATCTTGCTTTGTTGCGGTATGATATAGGTTTAAAGCTGTGTTGCATATTTTACTACCAACAACAGAGACCAACTTCTTTACGTCTTATGTTGATGCCAAAGAAGACTTCTTATCAGAAAGAGTATATACACATTTTGAGGAATTACTAAACATATAAAGGGGCTTTCAGTCGCTACATTGGCTGTCAAATAATTAAGCGAGGAGGAAAATGTAAAGAAACCAATATTATACAGAGAAAAACGAATGTTTCGACAAGCACTACTATATGTATTACTGCCAATTCATCCAAGCTTCTTCTCTATTAACTATATGTTATTCCCCTATGTTTGCTCTACCAAATAAAGCCTCGTCTGGGCACCTACTGCGATACTTTTTTTCAAAAATCGGGCTTAACACTTAAATTGGAGTTCACAGTCGCAAAACAACATGTTTTCCTTTAATAACAATAGCACAACAGAAGCATCCATACGGTGCTCAAGTCTATAAAATAAATACAGGGCGTGGTATGATTAGTAGCAATGCACAAAAATAATTTTATATGCGCCACTATAGCAAAAGTTAGCCTTGACCGATTGTTTTTTGACAATTTGGCGGGGGAAAACCTTTTCGGCAGTGTAGCTCCGTGAAATTATATAAACCCGATCTCAATATTACGGTTTGTTGATGTCGATTCTTGTCTCGCAGAATACGTAGGTATCATGAGTTTCTGTTCGCTCGACTCTGATACAAGACTTCGTTGTTTAGTCCCCCAATGATGCTGACACTGACTAAATCTGCTGTCTCGTAGTATCAGCCATTTTTCCTTGATTATGATTGTCCAATATTATTGTGGATAGACTTTAAGCCTACCTTTACGGTTAAATATGATATCTCTGTTGTGGACGACCATCAAGAGGGTTTTGCTGAGTTGAAAAGCATTTTGATTAGCCCGAGCAAGTCGTTAGATTCAAATTTGAATAGTACCACTGACGCTCAAGTTTTAGAACCACTGTAATCTGTTTAGAATAACGAAATATAGACAGAGTAAATACAATTAGAACTGAATATATTTATTATGTTATTCCAAGATTGAATAGGGATCAAAACTAGTGTAGATATCAAAGGTATTTATAGTTATTTGACAGTGCCGCAGCAATAGGACCTTGATCTTGAATGCGGGATAATTGTATAAGCCTTGAACCAGTAACGAGGATGTGCTGCATCAGAACTCATGAACCACCAGTCAAGGATAAACAACAAAGATGATCCAGGATAGAATGTTCTTCCTAATAGCTTTGACGGAAGAACATTTGTCGGAATTGAAACCCACTTCCAGGGACGAAAGGCCATAGGCTACCACTCTCTCGGAACCAGGATATAGATTAGCCATTTGATGGCACCACTCATGTTCCTTCGTGCTGCTTGAATAAAGACCTCTCACTTCTACTATGCATCTCAGCTCATTCTCAGATCCTCTTGTGTAATATACAACGCCCAATACATTTGCCTCTCAGAGATGATCTATATCCTCAACATAATCGAGCATCTCAAAAAGAAAGATCTGAAAGATCTGATGGTCAGTGTGGAATACATCCACTATGATCTGCATTCCGACAGTTCATCCAGTTACCAGATTTAGATATAAACTGTATGTACACTGGATTAGATGTACGATACCGATTTATACTATAAGAAGATATGGACTTCAGATACGCTAGTACTATAAGATTCATACTATATAAGATATAGGCTATAGATGGCACCACGGACATGGATGGCACTATAGACTTATACTTGTATTCCGACATTGACTACGGATGTTTACCATATCTGGATAGGCACCAAGATTAATGCAATATGAGCTTGTTGCTTCAGATGTGCACTTCATGATCCACGCTATAAGACACATGCTTATATCCGTGATACTAGCTACAGATACTTTATGTACTACAGACTTGTACTATATATGAGACATGCTATAGACATGCATACGATATGCTATAGACATGCCATATATCCAGATACATGCTAAAGATGTATGCTTAGCGATATACACTCAGATATGTACTATTAATATAGACTAAGAAGACTGTACCTATCGGATACATGCTACTAGATCGATATTAATTATCCTTATGGAAAGGATAGATCAGGGTACTTCGGATGAGAGTCTAATTATTCATCCAGACAGAGCTAAATCATGATTAGCTTGCTGGAGTTGTCTTTTAGCATGATTAGACATTAGTTGATCTGAGTTGACTTATTTGTCAATCTAATTAATAGAACTTTTATCCATTGTTATAGTATATAAGAAGGATCATCTACCTGGCCAGTAGAGAGACTTCAGTTTACTTTACACCTGTCAGTTTGATAATAAAATATACCTTTATCAAGTTGACATTACTGTTTTTTTATTCTTTTTTTTCCGTGAATTTTAGTCTATCAAGCCTCAAATTCCACAGTCAGGATTAGAATAAAAGTGTCTATAACTTAGAGATTGAACTCTGTACAATGCAGAACATCAGGGACATTAGACAGAACTGTAATCTACTCACTTCTTTGTCAGCACAAAATACTACGCCTTATTTTCAGGCCAAATTCTGTCTAAATCTAGCCATTTTGAAGCGCGAATAACTCATGCTACAAAGCGTTTTGAGCGCTTGGAATAGCACCACACGCCTTCTCTTGGCCACGCTTCTCTTACCGGTGCTTTATCTCAATTTTTTTGGGTCATTGCAAATTTACTAAAAATCGTCATTTTCACATGAGTATTAGCAAGGGAAGATTCTTGAAAATCAAACGATCGCGTTTTTCAGCGCAAAAATGAAGACTTTTCCTATGATACATATTAGATCAAATTAATCGTAAAGATAAAATAAAACATCAGAAGTTGTTTCTCTGGAGCTTTCATAAGCTAAATTTTGATATATTTACAGAAAACCTGTTTTCATACTTTTGCAAATTGCTCATTATTTTCGGTCTGAAAGCTGAATGCAACCAGCATCATTCGATGCGCCTTCATTAACTCTTTATAGATGCATCAGAAAGTAAAGTATAACAAGGACAATTTTCATAGTCAAATTTAGCAAAAACGTTTAAAGAATGTGAAATCAAGTCGAATTTGAATACGAAAATACCCACTGCACAATTTCAAATTAAAGTGCAGTAGTTACGGCTGTCACGGCAGAAGGCTGAGGCCAAATCTACTGGGCGTGACGTCGGTTAAGGCGCCCTCTCATTTTTCCATACCCTCGTTTTTTATTTTTTTTGCAAATTGCGTTTAGTATCAAACCATCTTTTGATTAAAAATAACACTCTAGCTTCTGATAACACGGCCTTGCACTGTTAAAAGTGATTAATACTGCTTCTTTAAAGTGGAATATAGTAGGTACTATTCGATAACGAGCACTAGAAGACGTAAAATCAGTACTAATCGAATTTGTTTATTAGGTTTCGATAATTTTCTGCCTGTTTGACGTCGGTGCTGCTGCCATTACTTCTCTGCTATTTCTGCTATTTGCTTCTTTGGTTTATTATGTCTGGTGGTTGCTTCGTTGGTCTCTATCTCTGGTGGTTGCTTCTTTAATCTTTGTCTAGTCTCTGGTGCCGTTCGTTCTTTGGTTTTTCTATGATGCTGATGTTGCTGCTGATGTTGCTGCTGCTAGTCTGGTCTTTCTTGGTTTGCTGTCTCTGTTGCTTCTGGTGTTGTTGCTGGTGTTGTTGCTGCTAGTCTGGTCTTTCTTCTTGGTCTGCTGTCTCGGTTGTATGTTTGTTCTCTGGTCTATCTCTGGTAGTTGTCTATTCTATGCTGGTCTATCCGTGGCTGTGGCAAGTGGTAAGTAAGTTTTTTTCTTTTGGTCGCAATGATATAAAACTTCTCTGGACGTTTTTATTATTGCTTTTTTTTCTCGTGATAATGCATTCATGATGTTTGCTTTGTTACGATCTCTTTTTCTTTCGTTGGCTGTGATATGATCAGCTCAACGGATGCTTGCGATGTTGTTGCTTCGTATGTACGAACAACAAGCATGATATACTGCTATATATCTGTATTGCCGTTGTAATACTACTTTGTTATATGGCCGTGGGTTGTTGTTTGTGTTGCCTCTGTCGCTTCACATGAAACAACATTAGTCAATCACTATATTGTATTGCACACTTATAATACTGATGTTGCTCATGCAATTGTGCGTGTTTGTGTTGCTTGACATCCGACTATTACCACCATGCACGTTGCTCATGCATGCATTTTTGTTGCAACAACAGCAAGCTGTTCTGAACATTCTTTGATGTTGTATTTGTTGTTATGCTTTTCTTTTGACTCACTTTTTTGTGTGAGTGTCCCTTTTTTTTATCTACATGCTACTATACTCCTATAGTAATATGTTCTTTTCTTTTCCTTTTTTCTTTTATTATGTTTCTTTCGAAGCATACCTCTTTATTACGTTGTGGTGGATGTGCCTATCGCTGAAGCTCAACAAGACTTTATCCGAGACTAGGAGATGGATAGGCTGCCTCCACTTAATTATTGCTACTTACTTTA